GGAGCAATTATTTTAATGGTTGATTGTGATATTCTCTAATTCAAGGCGTTTTCTCTCTCAATATACTTTGAGTAGTGAGAACCGATTTTTATTATCTCCTGTGTCAAGTTCCGTATAGTGGCGAACTAGGGAATGAATCCAGGTTTGCGTACTTTCCGGTAACCGATTTCAAAAAACTTTGCAAGTATATGTAATTCCACGTACTTTTGAGGTCGGTTTTTTAGTACTCTGTACTGAGATTATGAAAGAAATTATTCGTATTCTGATTACAAAATTACATAACTGTGGAAGGGAACTTCCTTGTTTATTCATGTTTTCACAGCTGTGGTGTTTTTGCCGTTTCTAATGGCAATATTAGGCATTTTTTGCGTTTTACACCGATATTTAACTACTATAACGGGCGGGCGCGTTCTGAAGCTTAGCAGCGGCAACTATGCGTTTAAAGTTAACATGGGACACGCGAAATACGTACCGAGACTTGCGGTGTCTATGTAGATAGATGTCTGTGGTATTTTGCCCTTCTTAGACTATGCTGATTCCTGCTATTTAGATGCTACTGAAGAGCTGCTAAATAAGCTTGAACGATTGTAAAACCTATGTAAAAGATTCGTCTTTGGGCTACGTAAATATTACCGAATGTCACATTTCCGTAGTCAGCTGAAACGGCTTCCCATCAGTCTCCGCAGGAATTTGCATATTGTGTCCATTCTTTATAATATTTTACGTAACCCTGTGTCTCCCGAGTACTTGAAAGAGCGTTTCAGCTTTCTTAGGTCCCAGGATAAACCCTGTCGCTCTCTTGTTAGGTCCCAGTTATCTTTTCCATCATTCAATTCCGGTTTCTATTCTCACTCCTTCACTGTTCATGCGGTCGGGCTTTGGAATGCGCTTCCTATTTCTGTTCACGAAAATACATCGTTAGCTATTTTTAAAGCGAGAATTCCATCCATATTAACTACCTCTGTGGCCGAACGGTTACCATACCGGACTGCCACGCAGAGGTCCCCGGGTTCGATTCCCGGGCCGGAAGAAATATTTGTATGGCCTACATTTATTTCTCTCGTGAGTTTGGGTGTAATTTGTGGTTGTCTATGTGTGTGTCCATGGTACCCGCGACACAGGGTTTCCCTAGTGCGGGGCTATGTTGAGTGTGTGCGTTATTATTATTATTATTATTATATCTTAGGTATTATATTTTGAAATATGTAGTTATCTAAGTATTTATTTTGATATTATTTATATTGTTTTATATTACTTATTGTGTTGTCCACGTAAGCCTGTTCTTTTAGTTATAGTGTCCTGTACCTATTTAGGTCTGCAGGAAGTAATTTCTTATAGAAATAAACCGTACCTTATGTTAGTGTTTTCGATTTCTGGTCCAGTGGCCGCTGAAGATTCCTAGGGGGGCCTCGGAAACAATTTGGGGTCGTTGATGCTGTTTGAACTCTACTACTATTGTATTAAGTTAATATAAAAAAATACGTGTTTTCAGTTCAGGCGTTGAAATATTTTTATTAACATGGACTTCCGCAAAGTAACGCGTGAATCTATTAATTACTTATTTTTATCTTGCCCAAGTATGCGGTGAACCAAAAAGAACCGACTAGCAGGCTACTTTTCTGCGATGATCGAGGTTTTGTAACTTCGACTCCACAAGAGAATTGTTGTTAATAAGTCTCTTTGCTTTTCGCTCCACAAAGTCCAAGGCAGCTAACTGAGCAGAGCCGGACCCAACGTGGCAGCAGTACTCCATACACGATCGAAATTGTGCTATATATAGAGTTAAAAGCTGTTCATGTGTGAAGTACCGCCTGACCTTGTAAAGTATGCCTAGTTTTTAGTAGCCCAAAGTTGTAGTTTGGAAACCTGTGCACTAGACTATGTAGATAGACTTATACGTCTCGTAACTTGCTATTATAAAACATATATGTATAATTATATATTTTTCAATATGAACATTTGTATCATAATATTTCTTTCTCGTAAAAACAGTTCAACACTGGGAATAAAGCAATTATATCGGAGTTGTTATTGTTATTTGAACTTTATCTAAGGTCAGGTGGACTTATGAATCCAGTATTGATAATGTCTGGACAGATTAACTTGTTTGCAAATACTAAAATTAATATAAGGATTGAATTAAATGTCGATTCACGCTTTAAAATAAATATGAAATATAGATAAATAATAAATAAATAAATAAATAAATAGAGATGGAATACAAAGAAAAGTTCTTTCTATCTGACGGGATTTAAACTAGGCCCTGTACTCTCGTCGTGCGTATAAGTAATGCTAGACCATGTTAAAACACGCATGACGCGAATGAAGCTTCATACTTAACCATTGTTTTTTACTTTGTTCGAGTATTATTTATTTGACAGTTATGGTTTCGGACGGATGTCTTAACGTAGTACGAGAGTAGACCTCACACAGTGGCGGATTTGCCCTAAGGCCCAGTAGGCTCGGGCCTAGGCCGACTAGATTTTAGGGGCGGTCAATCGTGACAAAACATTCACTGATAATAACAAGAAATAACTCAAAGTACCTACATCAAATCAAAACTAATCTTTAGTTCATAGGTAAGCATTATTACACTTGAAATCGTTACATTGGTTAAACTCTACCGCTCATTCGTAAGGCAGATTCCCCTGAGAAGAATGAGCAAAAAACTGTAGGGGTTGCTCTTTGTAAATAACATTTGTAAACGTTCAACATTTACAATGTATTTTTTTTTATTTTCAAACATCAGAGATCGAGACTACCTCCATGAGCTAAACGGGTTACTACCACGGATTTTTGTCATCCAAGTACGCAGAAGTTGTATAATAACTATTAGTATAAAGTTTTTGTTTCACTATAGTTTTAAACCTTGTGAAAGGCAAATTTTGTATATCAACCGGAATCTTGTTATAGAAGCGTATACATTGCCCCTTCAATGATTTTTTGACTGTGTGAAAACGACTGTCAAGAATAGCTAGTTTATTTTTATTCCTCGTATTAATGTTATGTCTGTCACTATTTTTCATAAAGAAATTACTATTCCTCTTAACATAAATTACATTTTCATAAATGTACTGTGAGGCTAGTGTAAGAATGTTAATTTCCTTAAAGTTATCTCTCAAAGGTGCTCTGGGGACCAGATTGTAAATTGCCCTAACCGCACGTTTCTGCAGGACAAAGATTCTATCGATATCGGCGGCATTACCCCAAAGCCAAATGCTGTATGTCATTAGACTGTGAAAGTAGCTGAAGTAAACCAATCTAGCGGTTTCGACGTCTGAAAGTTTCCGTATTTTTTTAATCCGTTTTGATAACTTACTTATATGTGTTAAATATTCTAAAGGCTCACGCACATTATGGCGAGCCGCACTGCACCGCATCGTGTAACAATAATCTTCCTAAATCAACTTTCGTACGTTTTATGTATAAAATATAGATATAGTGTATAATCACTACATCACTACGTCTGTCTCTCTGATCGCGATAAACTCTTTTTATCGCGATCAGACAGACAGCTGGTACTGACTACATGGCCTGACTACAGTGTCTGTTTTAGCCAATCTAGGGCAACCGCTCTAACAACTGAGCTACAGATCTAGTCGGCAGATCTTACGAATTTTTCTATGCGTTTGTTACAAGATCTTTGTTTCTTGTTTTAACTGTCTTTTTGCCGTAGTGACGTAATGACATGTGAAAAATCTATGAAAGTTTTTTTCAGTCAACTTTTATAGCTACTAGAGGTTGACAAGTGATATCGCTTTATAAATATATTGATTATAATGAATAACATGATGTTATACTACAATGATATCCATTATTGTTTTCTGAAAATATTCGACTATATCGGCCATTGTCATTAGTTACAGTTTTCTTATCTATTTTTATTATTTACTAAAAGAACTTTCAAGCAGAAGCTGCAAGAGTATCTTTTAAATTTTGCAAAAATTGGAAATACGTGTGGCTAAGGTGTTTGAGAAAAAATAAATTGGGTGAAATTAAATTGGATTGAAAATTGAATTGATTAGAATTTGAATTAAATTGGTTTTGTTTTGGGTTTTTACGAGTGGCGTCCCTGTCCCTATAGGGTAGGTGTCCTTGCCAGAATTCCAGCATCGCGGGCAGCCGCGTCATTTATGCTGAGTCAACGCCTTTTCATTGCCATGGCTTCCAAGACAGATGCTAGTAGAATATGTAACTAACTGTGTTACGTCTAAGTTAACGTCTGTATCATGTGTCTTTGTATGTATTTGTCATGGTGGTGAATAAAGATTTTATCCATCTATCTATTTATCTATTTAGGTCTCATTAACACTATTTTTATTATATTGATACTCTGTGCATGTGTACTACAATTAAACAGATTAAGTTTTCGACATAATTAACTCTCGACATGATTAAATCGAACGATTTCGATCTCTAGCTATTTTAAATAGAAAACCACCGTGAGACTCAGGCATATTACCTAAAATAACGAATAACTCACCCATTTAAGTCGAATTTTTGCTGCATATGTTTCGAAACAATTCGAGGTCCTAAATGGTACTGAGTGATCGGGCTGCCAGGGCTTTGGCGCGCAGGTTCCGTCGAGTCACCGCCTCGGAATCTCATGATTAAGGACCACGAATTGGTTCGAAACATGTCGAGGAATAATATGACTTAAATACGTGAGTTGCTCGTTATTCTAGTTAAGATCTCTGCTATTTCAAATAGTGGTTCAGTTTCCTAAAAACTTAATCTGAGTGGCACTGCCACTGCGTCACTCACCCTGAGACATGAGTTGACAATCCCATGTGCCTGTAATTTCACCAGCACCCTTACTCTTCCGAATAAAACCGGAACACAGTAATACTGACATTACTACTTGGTGGCAGAAATACATAAGGTGGCAGTACTACCCTGGATAAACTCTTTCACAAGGAGTTTTACTGGCACTAACACTTCTTGACCAAAAGGGAACAAATCTATATATTATTAACTTTCTTTAATTATTGTCATGACAGGTATGACAGTAAGAATGGCAAGTCTCGCATCGACTATTACGGCGGGATGGTCAAGACGTATCAGCTTACTCCTGGAGTCTATCCGAAGTTTGGAAGTAATATAAAGGTAAGTAAGATTAAAATTAAGCCATCATCATCAACCCATTTATTCCTCCCACTGCAGGGCTCGGGTCTATTCTCAGGCGAAGATTCAGGCCATAGCCCGCTAATGGGGGTTGGAGACTTTTTTATTTTTTTATTTTATAATATCAAGTGACGGCGAACAAGTCGTCCGCCTGATGGTAAGCTACACTCCTGTCCATAACAGTTGCAGTGTCACTCAGAGCTTTAAATCGCAAAGATCTAAGGGGCACTGCCATTGCGCCCGTCACCCTGAGACATAAGTTGACAAGTCCCATGTGTACCAGACTTCTCACGTTTTCGGAGGGTTGTGAATTTTCTTTGACATACTGGTTTCATTATGATATCCACTCATCCGAAGAACAGAGTCTGATGTGATTATAGAGCGAGAAGAGGATAAATACATAGGTGTATAGGTGTATTCAGAAGTTTTATATGTTATTTCGTTTCGGAAATATAAAATGGAACAATGGTCGATCTGATATCTAAAGCGAAGAACAACGATAGAAATGTGCAGTGTCCTGAGAATAAGCAGTCGTGCACATAGGTCTTTGTTCTACGGAAGAGTCGATTGTTTTCGTTCATCGAAAATCTCATGGTAAATTTCAAATCCGCAACGTAGGCTTCATCAGGAATACACGAATATAAATCAGCAACAGGCTTTGTCACATAAAAAATCAATAATGCAATACGCCAGACTTACTCATTTTGATCCAACTATTACAATGAAAAAGGACCGCTCTGAATCTCATCTGGTTCAAACATCCAAATTACATTCCACGTATAAATTTTGAGAGGTGTGGGCCCGGATTCGAACCTACAGCCTACATCGTCTTTAACAGTGTCACTAATCGAATATCACAATCTTTTTTTTTGTCGCGCGCCTGGTAGTAAGCGATGTGTCTAACCATAACAGTTGCACTGTCACTTAAAGCTTTCAATCGCAAAGATCTGAGAGGCACTGTCACTTCGTCCATGTGCCTATAGTTTCACCAGCACCCTTAAAAACCCGAAACGCAGTAATGGTCACATTACTGCTTGGTGGCCAAAGGAAAGAGCTCTACTGTTATTAGTGTTTTAGGTTTTTTTACGGCCGAGTGTACTTGATTCTTAGATCCATTTGACACGTTTGGACTCATCCGTAGAACAAAGATCTGTGCTCAAAACTACTTGTTCTCAGGACTTAGTACATTTTGTTCGTTTTCTTCGTTCTGGATGTCACATCGACTGTTGTTTGATTTTATATTTCCGAAACGAAATAAGGTATATAAATTCTCAAAACACCTTTACATAGTTTGAATAACGAAATTATTATCGCAATATATCTATTCCCTTTTCGCTACATAATCACAACGGACTCTGTTCTTCGGATGAGTCGGTTTATTTTACAATTAATTTGTATCTCTTGTTTCGTTATTGTATTCTATGTAAAATAAAGTAATTTTAATTTGATGACTATTATAAGTTCCTGACTCTTATGGACTTTTCACGGGGCCAATTGACGAGCCATTCCACCAAGCCATTAAGCCTGTCTAAAGTTAGTGAAAATTGCGAAATTCGCAACATCCATCTACACTACAGGCAGTATTACAAGAAATTTATTTAGTAAAATTAAATGGCAATGCAAACTAGTGGAGTGGCTCAGGATGCACGTTCACATAAGGCCATTACATGAGCCAATTCAATGCACGTGTGATGGGGGAAGGTATGGGCCCGAAAAATTAGAAATCATTCTAATTTAGTGGATTATCTTTATCACTGGTCTGGAGACACTCCATAATCTACGCCATAATGGCTTGGCTTAATGGAATGGCTCGTCGATTGGCTCCGTGTAAGCTGAGGGAAAACTTTACCATAATATAACATCCCACATCAACTTCAACAGTGTCACAAATCAAAATTCACGTATTTCTTGGGTTGAGAACATTGACTTACAATTATATGGACGTCGGGTCCGCGCTAAAAAGTGTCCGCACTTGTAAGGCGCTAAAATCGTATACAGAGCACCAAACTCCGCTTTAGTCTTCATTTGTTCTACTGACAGCGCGATACTGCGATGACATTACAATTTAAATTTCGAATAGGTTGACTTGGGACATTTTTTTCGTGGTTTTTGTATTAGACCCGTCGTCCATTTATTTGTAAGTCAATGGTTGAGAAAGATTTGTGATGGTGAAAAGCATTATTTGCCTTTCATGTACCCTGTTTTTTGTTTTGTGTTTGATGGTGTTTGTTCTTATATATTTCAGATAGCACCAGTTACAACGGAGACAGTGCTCAACCAGCAGACGTGTCTGCAAGTGAACGGCTCTGATGAGCAAAACGTCCAAATCCAGTCCGTCCTGCCTGACATGACCGACTTCAAGTATATTGGTAATGTTCTATTATACTACAAATGAGTAAATTAAATAAAATAAATGAATGAAATGGACTGTAATGGAATGAAATGGAATTGAATGGAATGCAATTTCGCAGAATGCAATATTCTTCATTGCACATAAAATTACGGTGGCAACACAGAACAGTAACTTAGTATAAAATAATAAACGAATGTGGTTCCATAATAGTTCTTCAAGACAACCTTACGATAGAAAGTTTCTGTATTGACAGTATTGGTTTCTGTTTAATTGAGTAGCAAATATGTAGAAAAGGGTAGCTATACCCCATATCTTTAATTTTGTGGCTGCCACAGTGGTATTTAGTTGCTAATTTGTATACGTACAAAGTGGTATTTGCATAATGTCGCAAATCAACATATTTCTAGGATCTTTGTCATCTTCTTCGTGTGCCATCTTCTAATGAAGGTCGGCGATCATGATGGCAATCTCAACTTTGGACACTGCAGCTCTGAATAATGATCGGGTGCTCCTATTGAACCACTGACATATTTATTGTAGATTTGTAGAATTTTGTTTGAAGTTATTTGTAGAATTTTGTTTGAAATTATTTGTAAAATATTGTTTGAAATTACTTTTGATTTGAAATATAATGTTCCCTTTTTAATAAATAAATACAAATAATGTATTGTAAGACAATAATCTCAGTACTAAAAAAACCGACCTCAAAAGTAAGTGGAATTACGTCTATTTGCTAAGTTTTATTGAAATATCCCCTAGTTCGCCACTGTACAGGACTTGACACTGGAGATAATAAAAATCGGTTCTCACTACTCAAAGTATATTGAGAGAAAAACGCCTTGAATTGGAGAAATAGCAAAATCAACCAATAAAGTAATTGCTCCTAAATTAAAGTTAGGCGCTATTTATAAAAATGAATCTTCATGCGTGAACATCCACCTCGAAGGGTGGCTGTTCACGCATGAAGATTCATTTTTATAAATAGCGCCTAACTTTAATTTAGGAGCAATTTATAAAAATGAATCTTCATGCGTGAACAGCCACCCTTCGAGGTGGATGCTTTTCTTCAAAATGAAATGGGACCACTATGGAAGTACCCCCTTTACCCAACAAAAAAAGAATCATGAAAATCGGTTCACAAATACTGGAGTTATCGCGTAACACAAGAGAATTGTTGTTAATAAGTCTCTTTGCTTTTCGCTCCACCGAGTCCATGGTGTAATTTGTCTTAATGGTTTCCTCACCAGGTACAGAAGCAATGCCAGACTCAGAGACGTACAAATGGCGCATGGTACAAACGATAGGCGAAAAAGTGAACAAATACACCATGTGGGTCAAGTACAAGAAGACTCTCAAGGGAGATTCTGTGCCCATTCCTGTCAGGTAAGCCTTTAATTAATGGCCGCCTCTAATATCGCAGTCAGGCAATATAAACTTCATAAGGTTACATTTCTTTAAACAAAAATTAAAAAAGAAATTGCCACAACCGTTGCGCCACACGTGCTTGCATATTCTCTATTCTTTCTTTGAATGCAAAAAAAACAAAAGAGCAAAACCAAAAATTTTAAAAATATAATATGCCCTTGTAATTTTTTATTTTCATAGTTTTAGAAAAAAAATATTCCAAAAAATTTTAATTTTTTTCAACTCCGATAACAACTGTTCTTTTACAACACTACGTATAACCATTTCGAAATATTGGGAAAATAAAAAGAAGTTGTACCCTGGTAAGAAACATAACAGTGACCGGAATAGATGGAATTAATTTAGGTAAACTAAAGAATGATTTGGACATTCCCTTCTACAAATCCCAGGACTTCTCGGAACTGATCATTTTTGAATATGCATATTATTTGGTATGTTATGTAGTAACTAATTATTATTTCCTATTAAGTATCTGTTACAAATTATTGTCTCAAAACACAATTGTATTTATGTTTCTATAGGCACTTACGTATTTAAATACTTCAGGCATTTAAAAAATAAACTTGAGACAACCCTATGTCTTGAAATGTTTAGAAAATAAACAGTAAAAAAAGAAATTTTATACGCATCGATAACGAAATGAGTATGTCCATACTAAGAAAACGTTCATACTTTAGGTAAATTAACTGCCTCAATTCCGATTACTGATAATTTAGTGACAATCGATCAATAATCAGGGCATTAAACTTTGTATACTTTAGTAATCGACATACTGTGGAACATGTTTCTTATGTTATTGTTATATTTTTCAGATACGAAATGAAAGGATTCAACTCTCTCCTTGGCTCTCACTACGACCACTATTACTTGGACTACAGCGACTATGACGTCGATGACATTGACCCTATGGTGTTTGAAGTTGACCGTAGTAAGTTTATGTTTACCATTTGCCTTTAAGAGTTCTCTTTAAAAATGTTCAGTGAGTATAAGAAGTCTTTTGGCTACTTTCGAGACAAGTAATTTATAGTTCATTTCACGTAGCATGATTCCTGCCTGTAATTTACAGGCACGCGGGACTTGTCAACTTATGTCTCAGGGTGACAGGCGCAGTGTCAGTGCCCTTCAGATCTTTGCGATAAAGCTCTAAGTGGAACTGCGACTCATATGGACAGGCGTGTAGCTTTTAATCAGTGCTTGCCTTGTTCGCCTCGTAACTTGATATTATAAAAAAAATCCGGTGACGTTTGAGATTTCAAGTTTCTGTGATGTAGTGACGTAAAATTGAATGAAAAAAAATCGATTTGAATAAAAAATAAAATAAGCTTTATTTGACATGCAAAATACATAAATTTCAAACAAAACAAAAAAATAAATAAATTCGATGCTTAGTTGGTATAGCGTCTGGCACGGTATGCTAGAAGACGTCGGTTCGAATCCGGCCGTATCGAAGGAATTTTTTTTTCTGAGAGTGATCTTTATATTAATAATTATAACAAACTAGTGGAGTAAAAAATAAATGGATAAATCTGTCATAGATTTCTCATAGATGGCGCTACGACTAAAAAGTCGTTGAAAGACCAAGTACAAAGACACGACGCAAGCACATAGAAAAATTCGTGAGGTCCGTTGGTTCGTTCCGTGGCTTAGTTGGTATAGCGTCTGCCACGGTATGCAAGAAGACGTCGGTTCGAATCCGACCGGATCGAAGGAATTTTTTCTGAATGTTCGATCTTTGTATTAATAATTATAACAAACTAGTGGAGTAATTTCACAAAAAATAATTGAATATCAATTCAATAAAAAATTTAATTAATATAGTGGAGTAACTTCACAAAAATAATTGAATATCAATTCAATAAAAGAATTTAATAAATTCGGGTTAAAATAAAAAATAAAAAAGAGTCATAGAAAATAAAAAAGAAGCAAGTCAAAAGGGTCCATGACTCAGCCTCTGAGGACTATGCTGATCACATAGCTCTCGCTTTTATTTTGTCACGGCGCCTCATATTAAGGAACACCACAATTTAAATAATATATGTATATGTTACTTGTTACGTACAAAAAATAATAATTAAAACAACTGTAGATATTTAGGCACTAAGTGAATAAAATTTGACATAAGCAACAATTAGACAAAGAATGTAATAAATTTGAATAATAAATAAGTAAGTTAAAAAGTGTAATACCAAACATACATATCAAATAATTGTAGACAATCAGGCACCAAGTAAATAAAATTAGACACAAGCAACAATTAGATAAAAAATAAAAAAATCTATTTGCGTAATAAATGAGTTATTTAAATAGCATATGGTAAACATACACCAATACACAGAACATGTATACGAACACAAACTATCTATCTTATCGAGATAATTTGTAACGAAAAGAGAATCGAGTAACAAAATATAATTTGAGAACAAATAAGAAACAAAATACAAAGGACTCGATTATAAGTTGTCAAAAAAACTTCACAACAAATTGTAACATTAACTAATAAATTAATTAATAAAAACAGCAACGATACAAATTTTGCACAATTACTCCAAGAACATCATTATTTTCATTCAAAATTACAACTGCAACAAATATTGTTTGTTTTTGGTTTCAAAACTATTTCCTTTTGTGGTGTAAAACTTAAAATTTGGAAATTACGTCAAATAAAATTACTTTAATTTTTACGTCTGTGCAACGTAAAAATTGGAAATGTTACAGGAATCATTTCATGTGAAATGGACTATAGTAGCAGTAGAGCTCCTTGTAAAGAGAGTTCGTCTCCAGGGAAGTACCCACCTTACCTATTTCTGCCTCCAAGCAGTAGTGGTTTTGAAGGTTGCCGGTGAGACTAAAGGCATAATATGGGACTTGTCAACTTTGTATCTCGGGGTGACGGGTGTAGTACTCTTTAGATCTTTGCGATTTAAACTGTTGAGTAGCACGGCATCTGTTAATCTGAATAAACTTGGTTGTGGGTTTACTATTCTGAGAAGTCTGGAACTAAAAGTATTCCAGTTTAAAATTTTGAAGGTGATGTTTTACATAATTGAATAAAATATATTCGGTGTATTATAATATCAAAATAAATTACAGAAAGAAGTATGGTCAAAAGGCATGAAGTTAAGCCATAATAAAAAAAACACTGAGTTAATGCATACCTGGTAACTCGGGCACAAATTATTGTTTTGTGAAACGCGCCATCTATCCCTGACATCAGGAACTTTTTCGTCAGTTTTACCACTCACTCGCGTGGCATATTTGGAGAAAGAATTATGTATCTGCTTTATTTTTTCTGATAAAGTCTTTCTGATAATCTCTTATTGCAAATCGGTCGAATATTTGATATTACTTGAGCTAATTTAATGTGGACCTATCTTTTTTGGAGGCTCGCTGACGCGGAGACGCTCAACGCTAAAAAACTAAGAAACGAACAGTTCTAGATAGCATTTCGGTTCAATACTAATTAGTCACTTGAGTTTTCATTTCAATATTATTTGATTTCCAAACTTACGATAGGCCTTTAGTATAATTTCAAAAACCTAATGAATTTATTCAAACTTGCAATTATGACATTTAAAGATGCTAAAGAACACTTTTAACAGTAATTTCGCCTTTGTTCTTTGATTTTTGAAAACTCGCTTTCATATAACGAGGGATTTCCCTTAGTTCCTATATACTTTAACTGGAGTAGAAACCAAGTTTCAATGTTTCGCGTGTTATTTGTTTAATGTTTTACTAATTTCTCTATCTAGATATGAAATGTACGTCATTCCCCGGTCCTGGTTCAGACCACTACGCAACGTTCAATCCCATGAAGGAGTTCGTGCATCCCGTGCACGACGCGCACGTTCATGACGAGTTCAACCGGTGAGTATTCAAAACCCCTTTTTGAACCTAATAAACCAAACGAGGTTTCAATATGCTGGACTGGCACGCAGAGGTTCTGGGTTTGGTGTATGGTCTACATTAATTTCTCTGGTGAGTTTGGGTGTAATTTGTGGTTGTCTATGTATGTGTCTAGGGCACCCGCGATACAGGGTTTCCCTAATGCAGGACTATGAGTGCGTGCAAAAAAATCTGAACAATAGGTTAAACAAAATGCAGATACAGAATAAATGTTTGTTTTGTTACAGATTTAAAATCAAGCACAATAAGCAGTACGCGAGTGTAGTGGAACACGCCAAGAGACTCAACATTTTTAGGCAGAATCTCCGGTAAGTGTATTTTTCTCAAACATGCTCAGAAATATTTGCATTACGTTAAAAAAACAAACACAGAAAGTTTGTCATTTATGGAACGTGCACCTTCCTCAACTGCCAAGGCCTTCAAAGTAATTATAGTAATAATAATAGTAGTTAGTCTATTAAAGACGGTTAATAAGAAATTACTAACTTTTAACTAAAGAAATTACTACCAAGTTTATTAGAAGCCCGAAGCCAAAGGCTGAGGGCTTCTATAACACGAGTTTTGTATTTTTTTGCCGTCCTTGATACGTACAATGTTTTTCATCACATTTGCGAGGAAATAAATAAACATGGTTAACCACACAACAATTATGGATTTGGTAAATGGCGGGTTTTTTTTTCCCATAGATAATAACAACTTGAACTAATATCTTAGTTCTTAAAGTAATGCATCCAATTCTTAGGTTTTCGCGATTGTTACACATAGGAAATGAAACTATTTTTCCGGATTTAAATCGCGTACATTTTTTTTCAAACAAACTGACATTTCGGGCTCTTTAGAGGTCCTATGTCCATAGGACCCGGTTTGTTTGAAAAAACAAATATACGCGATTTAAATCCGGAAAAATAGTTTCATTGAACTAAAATGTTGTAAAAAGCAAACACGCATACATGATGGATTGCAAAATAACATTAGAAATTTTTTATACAGATAATAATTAAAATTTTTTTAAGTAGTATGAAATAAAATTTCTGTTTAGATAACATTTTAAGCGAATGTTTTTATTTTGAACTTACGTAACCTCCTTGCTTGAACGCGAACCTGACATATGTAAGGAAGTATGTTGTGCTACAAAAAAAAAGTCTTATCGACCATGGCTGTAATGGAAAGAAAAAATGCCTGTGGGTTTTATTTGGGGCATGCGAGCATTACAACGTTGCGGTTTTGAAGGGTAAGGGTGCTGGTGAAATCACAGGACTTGTCTACTTATGTCTCAGAGTGACGGGCGCAGTGGCAGTGCCCCTAAAATCTTTAAGTCTTCTTTAAGTCAAATCTTAAGTAAAATCTTTGGAATTCAAAGGTCTGAGTGGCACTGTAACTGTTATGGACAGGCGTGTCGCTTACCACCAGGCCCACACCTTGTTCGTCCCGGTAGAGCTCTACTGCTACTAAATGGTAATTGCAGCTTTATCCACGCGCACAACCGCGTGCAGCGCTCGTTCTCCCTGGGCGTGAACCACCTGACCGACCGCACCGACGACGAGCTGCGGGCGCTGCGCGGGCGCCGCTACGGCGGGCCCAACACAGGTGAGTCCTCCACGCCATCTATACTTGACTTCGGGGACATTTATCTGCCTCCGCAGCCAAACGATTTAATTAAGAAGAATATTTCGACTCCTCTCACGTAAAGTATCGTATGTCGAAATTGCCAAGTTTACAGTGGAGCCTTTTAAAGTTCTGCATTCACTGAAATAAGCATAATACGTGACTTTAGCGTTTCTCAGTTATATTCGGCAAAGGTCGTTACTCACATAGAGTATTATAAAATTCTAGATATCGGTAAGATGATCTATTAGATGATCACTCTATGTGAGCAACGAGCTTTGCCGAATGAAACGGAAAACTTTATAACACTTCCCTGTAAACTTTGCAATTTCGACATACGATACTTTACGTAGGAGGAGTCGATTTATTTCTCCTAAGAATATACATTCACTTACAGAAATTTTGATTTAGCATTATATTTAGCACTCTCTGGACAGCATCAACGCCCTACAATTGCTTCCGGGGCCCCTACCGCCCCCTTAGGACTTTTCTGCGCCAACTCGGGGGTGGTACCACTTTGGGAAACTATGAGTTCAATAATAAGAAGTGAAACTGGTCCAAATAAAAATTATATTAAATGAACGGTATATGTTTCGAAATTACTTTATTTAATTTTCGTATAAGTGAGACGCAAACGGTCTCTGCATACCCGATACCGGGAAAAGGGGTGGTTTGTAGTGTGGTTTTTTAAGTCCACGTTGGTTTCAGGTCTGCCGTTCCCGTACAGTGCGTCTGAGTTGGAAGAGATGAGTGTGAAGCTGCCACCAGAGTTTGACTGGAGACTTATTGGCGCTGTCACTCCCGTCAAAGGTAATTACATTATGTCCCGTCGAGTATATAAACGGAAATAGAGACGAAACAAGGACCATCCATCACTGCCATCTCTTCAGACAAATGGGCCTTATGTCACTTTTAAATATCAACTCTCGTTTGCGCTGTAATAACAAATTGGAAAGCTGAAATAGTACAACGCCAATTACTGACCTGTGTGTACACAAGTCTCCGTATATTCAAAAAATGTTCTGTATTTATTGTAATACAAAAACATCACTTACAATGGGGGCTGTTCTATTCGGTGGTGTGGGAAAAACAGCCAAACGTCTAATTACGAAACAAAGTCTCTAATTAAATATTAAATATGTAATTTTTCAATTTTCGTCAATCATATCACAGCTCAAGTTAAACTGATCGATTTGAAATGAAACAATTGACGACGATGAGTGAAACAGTTGTCACCGTAATGATTTGGCAGAATAGTTTTCAAACAAATTAATGATATTTCGTCTCTATTTCTGGTTATATACTCGATGTTGTGTCCTAAAGGGCGGTAAGTAGCCAATTACGAACAGAGGAACAGATTCATCTGTAATGGTTTGTGATTGTTATTCCGCCCAATGTCATACATTGTTTTTATCACACTTGCGAAAAAAAACAGTTGCATACAAATTAGAATAAAGTCATTTTAATAATTTTATAACATCTACCACAAAACTAAAATAAAAAACACAAACACAAAAATAAAAATGTTATTAACTTCCCACAGACCAATCAGTTTGCGGTTCCTGTTGGTCGTTTGGTACAGTCGGCGCCGTGGAAGGCGCTTTATTCTTGCACAACGGCGGACATCTTGTGCGCCTCAGTCAACAGGCTCTCATTGATTGTTCTTGGGGGTAAGTCGTCATCACCGTCAAATTTAACACAATGCTAAGTTTGTTATAATTATTAATACAAAGATCGAACACTCAGACAAAACACTCAGAAAAAATTCCTTCGATCCGGTCGGATTCGGTGATAAATCTGTAATAGATTTCTCATAGATGGCGCTACGACTAAAAAGTCGTTGAAAGACCAAGTACAAAGATACGACGCAAGCACATAGAAAAATTCGTGAGGTCCGTTGGTTCGTTCCGTGGCTTAGTTGGTATAGCGTCTGGCACGGTATGCAAGAAGACGTCGGTTCGAATCCGACCGGATCGAAGGAATTTTTTCTGAGTGTTTATTCTGAGTGTTCGATCTTTGTATTAATAATTATAACAAACTAGTGGAGTAATTTCACAAAAAATAATTGAATATCAATTCAATAAAAATTTAATTAACATTGCTAAGTTTCTTAACATTGTTACCTATCAATGGTCCGAAATGACATTTTCCAGAATTAACGTTTGCTCGAATTTTCAGAACCCCGAAAGTAATTTTGATAAGAAAATGTTTTTTTTTCTTTTAAACCTAACTTAACCGAACCTAATCGTGTCTTTGCGATAAACATTCAACATATCCTGAAAGAACAATGGTTTCGTTATAATTCGGTTTTCGGTGAATTGAAAATTTGAACAAAAGTTATTTCAGAAAAAAAATTCGAGTTTATGATAGGTTACCACTTAACACTCGTTATATAATTTTAGATTATCTTTGGCTGTATAAGAGAACTAAATAGTTAGTCTTTCCGAGTTCGTCGAGGAATATGCTGCCATCGTACTTACTTCTGCCGCCAAGCAGTAGTTTACCCATTACTATGCGTTTCGAAGGTGTTGGTGAAATTACAGGCACATGGGACTTGTCAACTTGGGCCTTTTCAAGGCGAGAGATATTATTTAGGTGTCCATGGTCCGTCGTCGACCTAATCATCACTTTCCGTCAGGTGAGATGGAGGTCAAATGCGCGCTTATATTTTATAAAAAAAAATATCTCAGAGTGACGGGCCCAGTGGCAGTGCCCTTCAGATCTTTAGTGGCAACAGTGCCAACTGTTGTAGACAGGCGTGTCGCTTTCCACCAGGCGCACGATTAGTTCGTTCTGTCACTTGGTATAACAAAAAAAAGAGGTGTTTGTGAACTGGTTATGGCACAACGAATTTTGTTTTTTTTTTAGATTTTGCATTGACTATAATGTTACATAGGGTTGAAAAGGCTTGAAAGCTGTAAACAGTTAGTTATGGACCCTGTAGGTTATTGTAAAGTATATTTGGAGAGAGGAGGATTTACTCTTTACAAACTTGTTATATATTACCAAC